GGTGCCGGAGGAGGCAGCGAAACAGGTTTGGCCTCCGCTGCTACCTCGACTGGTGTCACAGCTGTAACAGGTATCTCAAGGCTGTACTGGCTTGTCATGCCCTGCTTAAGCTTCTTCCACCCCAGGTGATATATCTCAAGCATGTTGAGCAGCAGGGACACAGAGGCCACCACCAGCATGAAGATGATGAAGATGGTCTTCTCAGTGGGCCGCGAGATGAAGCAGTCCACCGTGTGCGGGCAGGGTGGGCGGCTGCAGTGGTACACGGGCTTCAGCTCGAAGCCGTACAGGAAATACTGACCCACGATAAAGCCCACCTCAAACAGTGTCTTGAAAATGATGTTGAAGACATAGGTACGGAGCAGGGCACCCCCCATGCGGATTCTGCCACGTTCATCACGGATTGGGAGCTTCTCCTTCCCCCTTTTGACAAGAGGTTCCTTCATGCTATTGCCTCCACCACCACTACTGCTGCCAGATGCTGCTGCTGGGGAGTTGCTGTCCTTGATGCTTCCCTTCTTCTTCAGCTCCTCTTCCTTCTCTTTCCTCTTCTCCTCCATGCGTACAATGTGTAGCACGTGGCCCAAGTAGATGAGGGTTGGAGTGGAGACGAAAATGATCTGCAGCACCCAGAAGCGGATGTGGGAAATGGGGAAGGCTTTGTCATAGCAAACATTCTCGCAACCCGGTTGCTGAGTGTTGCATGTAAAGTCTGACTGCTCGTCCCCCCAGACCTCCTCAGCGGCGGCCCCCAGCACCAGGATCCTGAAGATGAAGAGTACGGTCAGCCAGACCTTGCCGATCACCGTGGAGTGCTCCTGCGCATTCTCCAGCAGCCTCCCCAGGAAGCTCCAGTCACCCATCGTTTCAGGTTTCTAACCTGCAATAAGGACGTTACAGCAGCGTTGAAAAAACCTGCAGTTACACAGCGCTGCATTAAAACAGATCGCTCCTGACCAAATCCCAGGATGGTTGAGGTTGGAAGGGACCTCTAGAGCTCATCCAGTCCAACTCCCCTGCTCCAGCAGGGACACCTAGAGCACGGGGCACAGGGTGGCATCCAGGTGGGTTTGGAAGATCTCCAGAGAAGGAGACTCCACAGCCTCTCTGGGCAGCCTGTTCGAGGGCTCTGACATGTCTTATGTGCATAGTATTGCTTGTATATGTTAAGAATGACATAATCCTACGTCCTATCCAGCCACCAGTTTTGGTGAGCTCAGAATTGTGATCTTCTAGTACCTTATACCCAGCCTGTACAGCTGTTAAGTGCCAACATGAAGTGGCAGGCAAGAGAGATTCATAGTTAGAATCTCTACAAGTTTTAATATTATTATTAAATTGAAAAAATGCAATTTCTCTGTTTCTTCTACCTAAGACGCCACCAACCGTTCTCACCTATTTTTAGAAAAGCACAGGTGGAAATGAGTTCAATTAATCAGAATACTCCTACTATTAATGTGACTGCACTATTCAGTGTGATGAAAGTTTGGCTCACTCCACTCTTTTTATTGCTATCAGGAGCAGTGTTCCAGTTCCCTGCTGTGTTTCATACTGTACAATCACAGAAAAAAAAGTCATTACTGGTAATTTTACAGTGAATTATTTACATGACTTGAAAAATTGGGAATGAAGGAGACATTTTGACAGCAGAATGGTTTCTCTGGGGTTTTCCTCACTATTCTGCCAGCCAGTGCTATTGAATCACAAGTGCTGAAACTCAACAACATAATTAAAAAAGAAAAGTTCAAGGACACTTAAGCAACTGTGCACAGATATTTTAAGGGAAGCATATATATCCCTATGGTCTCACTTCCATGAAACAACTGCTACACATTTGCAGTGTGTGGCTTCCTATGCTGGTTTAAGGCAATGTGAAGAGTACTGACTTTGAAAGAATGGGAATACAAATTTTTCTTCAAATCAAATCCTTATCATTTGTCTTGACAGGGGAAGCAAGCTATACCCCACGGTTATCATTTCTGTTACATCTTTGCAAGTTTCTAATCAAAATAAATGCAGTAAGTACATCACATTCTCCTAATGAACTAAAGCACTTCACGCCACCTTCTGTGTTTGCTATGGCAATCTCACTCGAAAACAATATACAATACTTCACTTGCAGCTGCCTTCAATACTTTCAGGAACACTTAGATCATACTTAAAATTCAGATATGATGATTTTCATACAGATAAAAGAGAAAAGTCACTATCAAAGAGTCCTGAAATAATTCTATTAATATAACTGAATTACACTCCACTCTTTTTACCTCACACTTAAACCCTTTGTATCTGCACGTGCTACAATTGCCAAGCAGAAAAGAGCTACATGTAAAGATGAACAGGCTCATCATTAAATATAGCAAATTTCCAATGAGAAAAATGCAATATTTTTGGTATTTTACTTATTCTGATTTCCAAAAATGCTGTCACTGCTGCGCAACATGAAGCAACTACAAAGTCAGCATGAAAATCTCTGTTGTACACCTGACAAAATCTCTGTAAATGACCACTTAGACATCCATAAATGACTTTATCTCAGGAAATTCTTGAAAGTTTCATAACCAACAGGCAATTTAAAAAAAAAGTTTGTAAAGGGAATTTGGGAGTATTTCTAGTAAAATTATATTCTAGTTTTATTGAAACAATTATTCTTGACACTTAAGAAGTGAAAAATATCTAACTTCTTCCCCCAAAATAAAGGTCTGACTTTGATGTTTGGGAGGCATTCAATTTTGAGCACTTCTTTCAGGCTTTTAATTACATTGTTTATTTCAGTCAATTTTCAAATAACATGATTTTACTATGAGAAAATGAAGTACCTGTAACAGCATGGAGATCATATATTCCCAAAAATCCCCACCTAGGACTTGATATTTTTGGAATGCTAATAATCCTAGAACATTATTACACTTTTTATCCATACAAAATTACTTCACCCAACACTTTCCCTTCCTCCAGAAACAACAGATCTTTTTATAGCCTATAATATTTTCTTTAATATTATAAAACTTTTCTTCCAGCACTGCATGATCAATTGTATATGATGTTATTAACAGTGCGATTTTGTGTAGTAGTGTTCCTGGTTGTAAAACAAATTATGCCTTTTTTGAAAAATATTCATCAATTTAAAACAGTGGAGTTTTTTCCCTTTTAAAATACTAACCCAAGATCGAGTGAATTTAAATAAAATACCTTCTTTATATAATCCTTATTTGATTTTAATTTTCTTGGGCATATGAGATTTTTGCACAAAGAAATAACTTTAACCTCGAAAAGTATTAATTTGTCAAACCATAATGCATTAATCTTTTTTTTAACTAAAAAACCATTGAATATATGTTCAATTTAATTTATTCTTAATGTTATTTGGGAAGGTTTTTATTTTAGTAAATATTGTTATGGAGGAACAACAAAATGAATCAATGCAAAAGGGTGGCTACAATGAAAGTAGGATGTCTTTTGTGCTCTTCTGAAGAATTTGATTATCAAGTGGCTACTGGAGGATCAAAATAATAACATGTAATCAGCAAATGAAAGGTAATCCCATGTAATTTACTCTCAATCATTCCCTGTTCACTAAAACTACTGACATTTCTCCTGTTGACTACTGACCAGCTGAGATAACTGCCCTTTCTGAGATAATTCAGGATGGTAAAGGTGACACAACAATCCATTTTTTTAAATAAAGAACTTTACAATCTGTTCTAAGGTTTACATTAATTAAAAGATCTATTTCTGTATTCCGGGATCAGAAAATCCACACAGCCCACAAAGTGCTTAAGCAGAGGATACTTCATAGCATGTAAACTGAGCAGAGGTGAAACTTCAGTGTTCATCCTAGTGCCAGTTCCTGCAGCGCTGCCTCCACCACCGCTGTGCATCACCTATGGACTCACGCAAGAGGGGTGTAATTTCCAAAGGCAACACCAAGGCACACACCTCCCCTGGCTGGGGAGCTCTCAGAAGTCCAGGTTCGAAACCTCCCACCAACACCAGAGCATTCTCCAGGGAGCAGTTCTTAAAACCAAGGTAACTCATCCAAAAATCATCCATGATTTTAAAGGGATGCTTCGGTGCAGATAATGGTTGAATCAACCCAAGGGCTCACACAGTATTTGAGTAGTCACCATTAAGTTCAGTGGATGCTGAGAGTGCTCAAAAGCTAAAAATAAAGCCACACAACTAAATACTCAAATCTAAATTCCGACATGTAACTTTAGACAGCCATCATTCAATATTTTAGCTGAGAGCAATTCCAAGCTGCCTTTTGTGGGGTTTTGTATTAAACTTAACTGTACAGAGCTGCTTCCAGTACTGCAGGTCATGCTTGCAAATCGAGAGCTAGGAAACTCTTTAATCCTACAGTTTGCTAAGGGTGATATTTATTCTGTCTATGGTTGGAAAAAACAGAGGTTGAAAAAGAACCATCTTTATCTGCATTTCATGTAAATGCATGGGAAAATATCTGTTAGGGAATGATAGAGAATCTGTTTCAGAATGGATTCTGATTCAGCGGTATAGAGAGCAAGGATTTCATGGATCTTGGGATCATCCTCTAAACACTGGGAGCCACGTATTGTTTGTGTCACTTCAAAACTTTGAGATAAATACTGAAAAAGAGACAATTCATAGAAATGACAATGAATTGTATTTAAGAATCAGTGTTGCATATTAATGGGTAAGTTTAATACCTACAGAAATACACTCTGTTGATGGTCTACGTGTGTGCGTGTGTGTGAAAAAGACAGAAAGATAATGAGCAAGAGGGAGAACATAACTTTTAAAGCTGTGGTGTCTTACATATCACTTTACAGGAGATAAATAATTATAAGTTGACACCTTAACAAACTTGACAGTTACTATTTCTACTTGTATTTCAGATGGTGTGTCTCACAGAAAAGGTACTTCATTATGTACCAGGTGTGTGAAATATAATCATTTATTTGTAATTTTATTCCTGCATAAGTATGTGTGTATATACAAAATTACATATGCACATACAGTCATACACACATAGATAATTACACAAACATTACCAAATTAGGCTAACTGGTGTACTTATAATTTTACTATACTGGTATATCTAAAAAATACCCTTTGGCAACTATCTGGGAATTTAATTGATGTCTCTGTCTTACAATATCTCAAACTTGGCTCACACTTTCTTTCATTTCTTCTTATTCTTTGTAATCTCCTATGGGATTGAGATTTTTATCCTTAAAATTATCTAGAGTTTACAAACTAGTATTACAGAAATTGCTAAGAGAGAAAACAACTTTCAATATTTCCCCCCAAAAGTTAATGAATGAGAATTTCAATTTCTATCTTTTTTAACTCTGGATGAAATTCATAATCTAAATCTAATAAGTGGTCACACTGCACAAAATCTGCAATGTGACCACGTCATTCCAAACCAAGTGAGAGACACACAGGGACAGAATTAGCTATTATAATTTCCAGTAAACTTTAAAGGTAATTGGCCATGTACTAAAATAAAAATAAAAATAAATAAAACAAGCAAACAATGGTTGAGGTTTAATTCACTTTATGAATTTGGTTAAATGATGACTTCAAAAATATCCTACTTCATGCTCAGGTGCATCTACTGTCACTTTCATTGCATTTTAAATACTCGTTAAGAAAGGATAATGTAACTGATCTTGTTATTACCTTAAACACTTCTGTGGAGCCTCTTCCTTAAGAGCTAGGCAAAACTCCTCTCAACCCGGTGGAAGTGTGGCCAGAGTAGAGAAGTGCAAGGAGCTGACCCAGGAGGAGAAGCAGGTCCCAGCTGCTAAACCCCTCCTGACACAACAAACCCTCCATCTGACTCACCACTGACAGCAGAAAAAACAGAAACAAA